CTGCTGCTTGGGTCGGTGGGAGACTTCCTGCCTTCCCTGTGTGAGGCCCTGGTTCAATTTCCTGGCACCACCCCACATGGCTCAGTGCCATTCCCTTGCACCACGACCACCACAGAAATAAACGGAAGGAAACATTAAGAAAGGACATTGCTTGCAAAGGAAGATAAATAGAATTAGAAGCTATTGCTTGATGTTTCTGGGATGGGGAAAAGATGTTTTGATGACAGAAATGGAAATTGCAATGTAATGTGAATTGAGTGATTTTTGTCTTGGAAAGTTGCTGGCCGGATACTTTGCACATAACAAGCTTAATTTAAATAGCCAAAGAAACAGTCTGGCCATTAAAGGCTGGGGGAAAAAAAGACTTCGTTGAACTTGTTGAATTCAAAGATTAACTAAAAAGTTCCAGTGATGTGAAGGACAGCGTCTTGGTGTCCAAAAGTACTGTGGGTCAGAGTGATAGCTCTTGCCATAGAATACTGGGAAGGGGAGTTTGCCTTGCACGTGGCCAGGCCTTGTTCAACCTCCAGCATCTAATACAGTACCCTAGACACCTCCAGGAGTGATTCCTGAGTGCAGAGCCAGAAGTAAACACTAAGCATTGCCGGTTGGGTTCCCCAAACTAACAAAAATATAAAATCACTCTAAGTTTGTCCACCTTAGAACCAGAGCATTGATGTAAAAAAGCTATCAATTGCCATCCTACTCTGCTATAGATTGAGATGCTCTAGTTAGAAGCCTCTAATTAGTAAATCCTTGCCAATAAACGGAAGCGATTCTGGGAAATCAAACATCTGAGCAATTTTATTACAGTGGACAGAGTACTGATGAGTGATCATTAGTGGTGGAGAAAGTGTGACTTTACATGAGGAACCACTTTCTCCCCTTCTGGTTTAGGTATATAGTTATAGATAATTATCAATTCATTTCCCCATTTTTACACTAGTTTTTAAATCAGGTGAATTGTGAGTAATTGCCTTTTGTAGCTCATGGTACAGCATATATAAATGGGATTGAGATGGATTAAGAGGACTGGAGACCACCCATTGATGAATTTCAGTAACCAATAGGAATTTGAATTTCCTCTTAGGAGGAATGGTTAATAGGTTAAAAGGGTTAATTTTTGTTTGTATAAGGGGAATTTATGTTATGATGCACAGCAGTGTACTATTGAATCCATTAAGTATACTGGAGAAGTATGGAAAAAGGATTTGTTGCATGATAAAAGAGGTGGATAAGTTTAACAGATGCCTGCAGTGGATAACTTCCATGATGCAGTGCCTATGCAGTTGAGCGGTCCTCTTCCCTTGAGAGTGGAGTAAGTGGGGAGACCTGACTTGCTTTTAACAAGCAAACTATGGCAAAAGATGTCTCTACCCTGAGATTGATACCTTAAACAAGACCCCATCTTGCTACCAGACCTGCTCTACAGGTTGCCCTTGTTGCACTGATGAAGTGGCCATTGGGTGTGGGGACCCACATAACAAGGAACTTGTGTGTATCCTGAAATTCAAGAAAGCTACTGGTAGTTATGAGGTTCCATAGATTCTCACAAAGGCCTCTATGAGCTGAAAGTGCCTTCCTGCCACCTGCACAGGTGGAAACTGAGGACTCCAGATCTACTTATATGAGGAGATGGATTCTGCCAACATCCTGAATGAGCCTGGAAGTCCAATCTTCCCTTGGTTGGCACCAGCTTGCCTGACACCTTGGTTACATAACCATTTATGATCCTAAGCAGAAAACACTTTTATGAGCAGAGTACTGACGCAATGAAATACGAAGTATGTGCTTTGGTAATCTGTTACACAGCAACAGAAAGCAAATATAGTGCTATCAAAGCCTATTACAGCTTCTTAGAGGGCCTGCATTTACAAGATTCCGTTGAAACTTGTATTCTGGTTATATTATATAGACCAATCAGATGGGTACTGAAACTTGAATGGTAAAGGGAGGTGGGAACTATGATTTGACTATTTTTGATGATCAATCTGGTTGCAGAGATGATTGTTTTACTGCAATGTATTCAGTAGCTTATGAGTGCTGAAAGGCAGGATATTTGGAACTGATTTTGCTGGTGTAAATTATAGTAAGTAAAGCATGGCTTTGGAAGTAGCAGCTGTAGTGTTGGTTTCCATCATGCCAGTAGGAAATAGCAGATTCCTAATTGTAGAAGAGTTAGCAACTCCCTTGGTGGCCTGGTTCTGCCAGTGTAGCTTTGCAAGTTGTTCTTGAAAGCTCAATTTAGAGGAAGTTCTCTTGATAATTCTGTAAGCCATTGTCTGTGTGGTAATAAATCATTTCCTGTACTGCCTAAACTAATTAGAATGAATTCTATTCTCTACAACTGAAGCTCAACGAATATAGGAGGGAAGTCTTCAAATGTTGAGTTAAACAGATATAAAAATACATTGCAATAAAGAAGTGTAGCACTTTAAGCCATTTTTATATTTAATAGATTTATAGAATTTATTTTTATAAAGACAATTACAGTTACCTTATTACATAGTTAATTTAACATGGAAGATATAATGCATTGGCTCAGTTTGACACAACTAGGAAACAACTATAAAACTCTGTTTTTAATATTTCTCCTTGTAGACTCAGAAAATAAATACTCTTTGGGGGACTGGGCTACCAAGAAGTACTCAGAGAGGCCGGGGTAATTCTAGTGACAGTCAACCAACCAGGCAGGATGGTTCAACACTTAGGCCCAGCAATGTGGTGCTGTGTGGACTTATCTGGGTCACTATGGTAGAGCTCATATGCCTCTCAGATTACACCTGTTGGTGCCTGGAGTGACCATGAGGTGTTTGAGATTGCATTGTGGGCCTTGCACGTGGCAGTCATGTACCCCTGAGACCTGAACCTTAGCCTCAAAAAATAAATGATTTCAACTTCCACATATACTCTTTTTTCAACTCAAAAATATAAGTATTCAAATTTAATCTAGGTGAAAGGACAATGCTATAATCTTTAATATCCCAACTTTAAAACCATATTAAATATTAGTTAAGAATTTTTTGTATATACAGCTGACAAAATATTCAAAGTTTGTGCAATAGTATCTTTTCATATTATCACAGAATCTTGTATCTTTCTAGAGATATTTTATTATAATTTAATAATTATTGCATTAACATCCAACTTAATACATATAAACTATTAACCAAACTAAAATTTGGATGTATTTTACCAAATAAGTTTTGAGAAGCGTTATAGAAGCTTATTTACTATTTCTTTAAATGCTAACTTTCTTAAACAGATGGGACTGACCCAAATCCTTTTCAAGACATTATTATGAAGTGTCTGGCCAAATCCAGATTATAAAAAATTTTAAAAGTCAACTTGAAAATTCTCGAGCCTCTCTGAAAATAATATACTTAATGGTGATGCTGCTTCCTATATTAGGTCTTCTCCACTGTGGATTCTTGCCAAAGGCAAAGGTTGTCTCCTGGGTCACTCTAAAAGATCATACGTAAAAAGTCTAAAGACTTGTTATTTTTCTTTTAGAAATGTTCTTAGAGCTCAGGAGTCTTAGGAGTCACATCTGGTGGCGCTCAGGACATCAATCAGTGCTGGGTCCTCTGCATGCAGCCTAAAACACCAATGGGCTTAAAATCAAAGCATATGAAGAAAAAATAAAATTCCAAAGGCTGGGTGCAGTTATGTGTGCCTTAAGTGCTGGGATTATTTGGGAGGCTGAGGCTAGAGGATCTCATGGATCCACTACTAGCTTGTAGTGCACTATATAAATTGAGCATTTTCCCTAAATCTGGCAATATATGACCTTTTGGGAATATTATTTAAGAATCAGACCAGAAGAGAAAAAACTCCAATGGATGATATCTCCTTACAATTTCCTAACAATTAATTTTCTTGAAGAAATAACACAGAAATTGGACTGGTGTAGTTCGTTGTATATTTTTTCTTCTTTAAAGTGCTAAAAATCCCATTATTTCTAAAGGAACTTTCATTGTAATTAATGGAATGTAAAATGCATAAAGTTTATAGAAATTATACATCTAAGTCAGATAGTCAAAGCTTTTTAGATACCTGCAATCCAATAATTTAATAATCTTTAAACATAAACTCTATGGGCCTGCTAGGCTAATACAATAATTCAGTCTATCTAACATAAACATGACTGGTGAAAAAAATCTAAAATATAAAGCTAAAACTAAAACAGCCACAAGCTAGTCTGAGACAAATGTTACAAGAGGCAGTACTCAAAATTTCAACTAATTTATCAGTCTAACGAAAGACCTATACAGTTAATTGAATCATTCCTTACCCTTTCTGAAAAGGCTGGCGTTATCCAGCGTAAATCTAAATTCAATATCAGTATTCCTTACATCAGCCCACAATTTTGAGCTCCTGACTTTTTACTAGTAACAGTTAAGTCATCAGTTACTGAATCACTCAGTTAAGAACAAACACGTTTACTAAAAACTTTTATTATTAGAAGACTGAATAACACTAACTTTAAAAAGTCAGTATTATTACTAAGAGGTTACTTGAAAAGAGGCCTCCATATGGTAATTTTGTAGATAATTAAGGCTATAGATCTAAGAGCCTGGTTTTCCAAAGCATTCTAATAGGATTGAGGCAATTTGGTAAGTAACTTTTATCTACATGGCACATAAACATTACTAATACTTAAATACAATGCCACATTTTCAAAATAATCAGCAATTCATATGTAAATAGCAGCACAGATTAGTAATTTTTAAAAGTGGTATCATGGTGCCCTCTGGTGGTAACATTTAGCCTATTCCCCTGATACAGCATATAATGTGAAATACAAAAAGTACATTTGTATCGGAGGATATAAAAATTAGAGTTCACCATGAAGGAACGAGTTGTTGTGCTTCCGAATACCTAATACCTTTAAAAAAAAGAAAACAACAACTTTCAAGCATATCGGTAACAAGATAAATCCTTGAATGTCTACTCACAGATATCTTTAAAAAATTACTTGTATTAGTAGGCAATTCATGTTATATCTTAATTCTACAATTTAACTGAGAGCTCTTTGCATTTTCTAGTTTAGCTTTTACATCAACGGGCTTCTCAAAAAACCTCACCAGTGCTGGCTCATTCAACAAAGAAGCAATAATCTGTTCAAATGCAAATGACCACTGAGGTTCTTCCTTGGGAGAGGAAGAATCTTTCTCTAATAGCCTCTCAGTTTCCTCCAGCCCGGGTCCTCCAGGAGCACAAACTATCTCAGAGAATCCTTTGGCTGATGGTGGAGGGCTATGCAGTTTTCTTCCAACTTCTTCCATCCTGAGTAAAAGGTTGGTTACAACAGCAATGGCTTGATATAATGACTCTTCTTCAGGGTCCCCGTGAAATAAGTTAAATAGGGTCTTTGAAAACTGAATAAATTGTGACTGTAAGACACAAGTTGAAAATATCATAATCAACATTATACTTAGAAAATATTAAAAAAAAACCTCAAAAGTGATTATGTATAATACATAGAAGTTGGATCATATAACTTTCACCACAAGTAATTAGAACTGATTAGAATTAGTCCTCAAATAAATCCTGGTTATAGAAAGATGGCTATAAACCATGGAAGAAAAATTTATGTAAATTTTCTTCTCATCTGTGGCCTAACAGCAATGCATTTTATATATATATATAATAATTAAACACGTATACATATGACTATATATCTATATATAAAATAATTTCTCAATAGCTTACCTGCTCAGTGTTAGGTGCTATATTTAAAATTAGGCAAAGTATTATATTTCCCTATATATAAGTCATTTATTTGTTAACTGATCTTAAAGCAAGGTTTATGAATAAATTTTTCTTGATGTTCCTGGAAGACATGAGTGGCAACTCAACAATGATGATTTATATTACAGAATGTTCGGTGATTTATCTAGTACAATAAAACAGCTCTTAGAAGCCTATTTGGACATGATTCTCTTTAAAAACTAAGCTGAGGCCCAACAGAAAAAATATCATGGCTTGTAACTGATAATTCATGAACATTTAGAGGAAATATGTGTCAACTGAAAAATACCAGTTATTAGATGTTGATTGAGTTTTTGGACTGAGGAAAGGAGAAAAACACTTTAAGAGGTATTTTGCCCATGGGCAGTCAGGAAGGGCTTTGGAATACCTCTTAGGTGGTCCTCAGGAAGGGCTTTCTTGTGTTGATTTGGCTACTTGATTGGGTGCAGTGTCGGCCCAGAATGCTGGGGAGTTGGAGTGACAAGAGAGATGGAGAGAGAAACAGAGTTGGAGAGATGAGAGAGAGAGCAAGGCAGCAATATGGGCTGTGGAGAGACTAGCAAGGGGCACAGAGGGAAAAGAATATAGAAGGATACAGGAGCAGGCACATGGAGAAAGAGCACCCAGGCTGCAAGATGGAGTGCAGAGAGATGAGTGGGAGAGACAGGAGGAGACCGGAATGAGGGGGCAGTGTGAGACTAGAATGATACTTTCCCTGTAGTACCACTTGTATAACTGAAACCCAAGCACAAAAATTTGTAAGTCTACAACTGTATCTCATGGTGTTTCACTAATAAAAATTTAAAAAAATAAAACAAATATTGTAAAGGTAAAGGTAAAGGTAAAGGCCCTCCCGTTGATCGTCGATTTGCTCGAGCGGGCCCAGTAACGTCTCCATTGGAGACTTTGTTGTTACTGTGTCTGGCATATCGAATACTCTCGAAAACAAATATTAACAAAATAAAATTTAAAAAGGGAGACTGGGGCAGGCGTGTGGGGAGAATGGAATAAACAGCAACCGATCAACCAACCAGCTTGGCCCTCATTTCCTCCACCGTTTGCCCCATGACCTGGGTGGCTAGGGGAAGAGCCACTGGGGCCTCCTCCTGGCCGCCCCCGGAGATTTTATACACATGGTGCTATCTCTTCAGAATGATTCTTACTATTTATTATCATACACTAAGTAGTCTATAAGGGGCTTAGACTTGTGTCAGTAGTAATTATTAGTATTATTTGAACAGGTTCAAATACAAGATGATTAGTGAATCCTTATTTATTTAATTTTAGTAATTTCTTAGCTTTAGTGCCTAGAATCGGGAATTTCATGTAGCAGACACTAAAAAAATTACTGAATTAAAGTGAAAATGGAAGGTATTAAAAATATACATTTTAGGAGCTGGAGTGATAGCACAGCGGGTAAGGCATTTGCCTTGCATGCGGCTGACCCGGGTTCGATTCCCAGCATCCTATATGGTCCCCTGAGTAGTGCCAGGAGTAATTCCTGAGTGCATGAGCCAGGGATAACCCCTGTGCATCACTGGGTGTAACCCAAAAAGTAATAAATAAATAAATAAAGGTAAAGGTAAAGGCCCTCCCGTTGATCGTCGATTTGCTCGAGCGGGCCCAGTAACTTCTCCATTGGAGGCTTTGTTGTTACTGTGTCTGGCATATCGAATACTCTCGGTAGCTTGCCGGGCTCTCCGAGAGGGGCGGAGGAATCGAACCTGGGTCGGCCTTGTTGGCCGCTTGTAAGGCGAACGCCCTACCACAAAATAAAAATTAAAATATACATTTTATTGGTGCAAATGTCATAGCAGAGGAACTATATTAAAAAACTAAGTGCACATCAGTATTTAAAGCAAACAATTATTAAAAATGTGGCTCCTGGAGCTGGAGAGATAGTACAGTGGGTAAGGCACTTGCCTTGCACATGGCTGACCTGGGATTGATCGTCAGCATTGCTTATGATACCCTGAGCACAGCAAGGAGTAATTCCTGAGTTCAGAGTCAGGGGTAACTCCTGAGCATTCCGGCATGTGGCTCAAACCCTGCCACTCCCCCTCCAAAAAAACCCCAAAAAATGAAAAAAAAATTCACACGACTGTATGCCTGTCTAGAATTGTAATTCTTTGGGAATTTATTCCCAGAGAAACCCCAACTGTAGGTTTACAAAAAATGTTATACCTGAAATTTAGAAACTATGTGGATTAGTTAACTATATTTACAGTATAAGAATTCAGAATTTTGTGGTCACAAGACAGTTCAATGGGCTGGAGTGAATATATTGCACCCAGAAGGTCCATGTTTGGTCTTGGTATCAGATGGTCCCCTGGGTACCACCAAGAGTGGCCCTGAACACTGAGTCAGGAGCGGCCCCTGGGCCTGCTGGTGTAACAGCCCTCCCCCAAAAATATTTAGAACTTTTTTACTTGAAAATACTATACCTGATTCATTCTTGGTAAATCCTTAATGCTTTCTTCTTTTTTAGAAAGTTCATCTTGCCACTGACTCAGATATTCTTGAATATCAACTTTTTCTTTGCCTGAATGAGGGGAATTAAATCATTTTATAACGAGCAAAATATATTTTTCTCAATCTTAAAAGGACTAATCTGGTGGAAAGATATTTCATTATCACTGAGATGCAAAATTCTACTTCTAAAATCCAAGAAGTTATATAAAGTTACCTTTTATTTTACCCATTGTATCAGAAAATTCTCCATTTGTATTAAATTAAATTAAAACTTGAAATTTGTTGTCTGCCATAGAGGCAGACTGAGAGGTGGTAGAGGTGGGAGGGAAACTGGGGACATTGGTGATGTTAAATGTACACTTGTGAAAGGACTCATGCTGGAATATTGTATGATTGAAACCAAACCATGAACAACTTTATAACTGTGTATATCTAACAGTGATTTAATTTAAAAATAAATAAAAATAAAACTTTTACGTTTTGGGGGGAGGGGGGCGGGGCGGGGCAGAACACAGCATATGGTGGTGCCCAGGGTTTCCTAATGACTCTGTGCTCAGGGATAACTCCTAACAGAATTCAGAGAACCATATGGGATACCGGGAATGCAACCCTGGTTGGATGTGTGCAAACAAGCATTCTATGTGCTGCACTATCTCATCTCTCTGGTTCCTAAAACTTTTGCTTTGGAAGGAATGGGAACTAGGGAAGACACCATGAGCGAGGGAGAAGGACACATTTTTGATTAAACAGCACATTATGGCTTGATGATATACATTTCAGGTAAATATTCTCATATATTATATTATGTTTAAAATAGCTTCTATATAATATTCTTGATCACTTGATCACTTGACTTCCTGTTAATCGACGATTTGCTCGAGTGGGCGCCAGTAAAATCTCCATTTGTCCCTATCACGTGAGAGTGTAGCCCAATGGCGTCTGTTCCCTCTGGGAACATGAAGAGCCTCAAACCGATCGCTCATGATCTTGATGAAGAAGTCTGACCATCTGGTAGGTGGGCAGCCACGCGGTCTTTTGACATCCCATGGAATCCAGTCGGTAACAGCTCTAGTCCAGTGGTCATCTTTAAATCTCATTACGTGACCAGCCCATCTGATTTTTGACACCTTGGCAAACAAGACAACATCCCTGATTCTTGATGGTCGACGGATGTCGGAACTCTGGATTCTTTCTCTCATTTGAGTGAAACGTGATATTCCAAGCATAGCTCTTTCAATTCCTCTTTGGGAGACCCTAATAGCGTTCTCATCCTGCTTGCGTAGGGCCCAGATCTCTGAGGCATATGTTAATGCAGGAAGAACAGTGGAATCAAAGAGATGTGCCTGGAGCTGGAGGTTCTTCGTCCTCTTAGCTATTTCTTCGACGTTCTTGAAGGCGTTCCAAGCCGCTCTCTTCCTCTTGTGCAGCTCGGGTGCCAGGTCATTTGTCATGTTGACTTCTCGACCTAGGTACACATAGCTGTTGCATTCGAAGATGGTCGTTCTGTTGAGAGCGAATGGGGCGTCAGGAATGAGGCTGTTTCTCATAAACATTGTCTTTGTAAAATTCAGCTGTAGTCCGACCTTTCCACACTCACGGTCGAAGTTGGCCAGCATTTGTGCCGCTTGGCTGATGTTCGGTGTTATTAAAACAATGTCATCAGCAAAGCGGAGGTGTTGTAGTTGCTGACCATCTATCTTCACTCCCATTCCTTCCCATTCCAGTCATCGCATGATGTTCTCGAGGGTGACACTGAAGAGTTTCTGTGAAATGGTATCACCCTGCCGAACCCCTCTCTTGACATCAATAATTACTTCTTTGTAGAATGGTGAGATCCTGGTAGTGAATCCGTAATACAGCTCACGGAGGATCTTGATGTATTGAGCTTGAATGCCCTGATTGGCTAGGGCTTCAATGACCGCTTCTGTCTCAACAGAATCAAAGGCCTTCTTTAAATCAATGAACGTTAGACAGAGCGGCATCTTGAACTCCCGAGAAACCTCAATGAGCTTGGCTATCGTGTGGATATGGTCGATGGTGCTGAATCCTTTGCAGAACCCAGCTTGCTCGCATGGTTGGAACTCCGGCTTCTTTCTCTCATTTGAGTGAAACGTGATATTCCAAGCATAGCTCTTCATCTAGTGTCCTTCATCTAGTGTTCTGCCAATCCTATTTAGGATGACTCGAGTGAACAACTTGTAGATGACAGACAATAGGCAGATCGGGCGATAGTTGCCAATGTCATGGTTGTCTCCCTTCTTGAACAGTAATACAGTCCTGCTGGTTTTCCATTAGGACGGAACCTTGCATTCAGACAGGTAGCGTGTGAAGAGCCGAGCCAGTGTATTGATGAGTACTGATGGCAGGTGCTTCAGGTGTTCAGGTCTGACCTTGTCTGGGCCGGGTGCTATTTGTTTCTTTACTGACAAAATGGCGTGTCGGATTTCAGAAGGGAGAACACTGGGAACGACATATCCATCCTGTGGAATTTGGTATATCAGCAAGTGGACATGGCTATTGAAGAGATTTGAGTAGAAGTCATGGATAATCTTCTCCACTGCCGTTCTGGAGGATGTGATAGATCCATCAGGACGTTGGAGGGCAGTCATCTTGGTCTTGTAGTTGGTGAAGGATAGGCGGGCGTTATGAATACTTTTCCCGACTTCTGCCGCATCTACCAGCACTTCTGCTCTTCTCTCTTTGAGGTCTTCCTTGATCGCATCTCTGCACTGCTTTGTGAGCTCGGACGTTCGCTTGCGGTTGCCTGAGGCATGCGCCAAACCACATTGGCGAATAAGATCAAGAGTTTTATTAATACTCTTAATATGCAGATATCAAAGTGGTCTTATAGTGGCTCTTTTTTTCAAAGATTTAACACACTTCAAAATCATGATATCAATTAATGTGATATTTACAGTCCTATTTAAGGACTGTAAATAACTAGGTGGATATACTGAACAACCTGGGGGAAGTTTCATGATCACGATCATGACCATCCTGTTGTTCGTCGATTGCCTCGAGTAGGTCCCCAGTAACGTCTCCTTTGTCCTAGCCATGAGAATTTTCTTAAAAAGTGCCAGATTTGGGGCACGGAGGCCCAGCTCTGGGCAACAATGCTGAACGGCTCCAATTCCAAACAGGTACAGCCCGCCCCCAAGGGCCTGGGACCCTCTCTGGGCATGCGCCGCTAGATCCAGCTCCAAGAAAACCGGTTTTCTCCCCTGATCTGCGCGGGACGGGCACGGAGGCCCAGCTCTGGGCAACAAAGCTGAACGGCTCCAATTCCAAACAGGTACAGCCCGCCCCCAAGGGCCTGGGACCCTCTCTGGGCATGCGCAGCTAGATCCAGCTCCTAGAAAGCCGGTTTTCTCCCCTGATCTGCGTGGGACGGGCACGGAGGCCCAGCTCTGGGCAACAAAGCTGAACGGCTCCAATTCCAAGCAGGAGACGTTCCCAACTCCTCGCCCAGTGCCAGGGACTCTTTCTGGAGCCGCGGCCGCTAATGCGGCCGCGAAATATTTTCCCACTACATATGCCATAGGAACCATAAGCTACCTTTTTAGATGGAAACTTCTCTAGTTTAGCTCAGCCACTAGAAACTCAGTAGCCAATGACTCATAAGCCTATCTTAACTCACACTGCATATCAAGCAGAATAGTAACAGTGAACGTGAAGGACTAAACCACACTTCTCACAATGGTAAAGCAACGCAAAAGCCCACCAAACTTTCATATTGAAGAGTCTAGCCCAGATGACACCAACAGTACTGTAGTGTTAGACAACCACTCTGACAAGGAATTCAGAAGGGAGCTACTTAGGATGCTTAGGGAACTAAAAGAAACAATGGAAAGCAATGCCAATAGAAGACAAGAGGATTTGAAGGCAGAAATGAGGAAAATGCAATCAGAAATGTCAGACCTGAAAAATCTTGTAGGCGAATTGAAAAGCTCAGTGGAAGACCTCAGCAGCAGAGTAACAGCTGCTGAGAACAGAATCAGTGAGATCAAAGATGAAGTTCAGAGACTCTCTAGAAAAGAGCAGAAAATGGAAAAGAGACTCACAATTCGGGAACAGATGGCAAGAGAAGATCGTGATGAAGCCAAGAGGGGTAACATAAGAATTATTGGAGTCCCAGAGGGACAGGAAGAAAACCTCGATGAAGAAGAAACTGTCAAAGACATCATTGCTACAACATTTCCAGAGCTGAAGAAAACTTGTGACCACATTCAGGAGGCCCGAAGGGTACCAGCTAGAAGAAATCCGAATAAAAATACCCCAAGACACATTCTGATCAAAATGACCAAAACCTTAGACAGAGACAAAATTCTGAAAGCAGCAAGATCGAAGAAAGAAATCTCTTACAAAGGAGCATCCTTAAAATTCACAGCTGATTTTTCTGATGAAACCCTCATGGCCCGAAAACAGTGGTGGGACATAGTAAAAAAACTCAATGAAATAAATGCCTCCCCCAAAATACTTTTCCCAGCAAGACTCTCATTCATAATAGAAGGAACAACACACAGTTTCACAGACAAACAACAGCTCAGGAACTTCATAGACTCAAAACCATGGTTACAAGAACAACTAAATGGGCTACTTTAAGGCAAGAAAGGCCCCTCAAATACACCAAATTTTAACATAACAATGGGACAAAATCCCATAACAATAATCTCTCTCAATGTCAATGGGCTAAACACACCAATTAAAAGACATAGAGTGGCAGGATGGATTAGAAAATTGAACCCAACATTCTGCTGCCTGCAAGAAACACATCTCAATAGTCAAAGCAAACACAGACTCAGAGTCAAAGGCTGGAAAACAATCCTACAGGCAAACAGCTCCCATAAAAAAGCTGGGGTAGCCATCCTTATATCAGACCACATCGATTTCAGAGTGAAGAAGGTCATAAGAGACAGTGAAGGCCATTTCTTATTGATCAAAGGATCTGTACAACAGGAAGAACTTACAATAATAAATGTATATGCACCTAATGAGAGACGAGCAAAGTACTTAAAACAACTACTCATAGATTTGGAAAAAGACATCAATAGCAACACAATACTAGTGGGA